TTACAGATCCTAATTAACTGCAACGAATACAACGGAATCCACGTTATACATTACAACATAAAATGGATTTAATTCAGAGAATATCATATATTTTTATACTATATTAACGGTGTGACGGTGCGGATCACCTAACACTACTAATAAACTAATAATAAACAAACTATATAGTAAAGCTCATACACCACATACGCCAGTTAAATTCAAAACTTATATATATATTGAAAGAAACGTATGTACAGTTACAAAGTTCACAAAACAAACATTTACAAAACGTTAATTATAACAAAGTTCAACACATTTATCCACTACAACAGGTCCGTCGAAAAGACACCTTGCGACGAACTATCTTTAAAGTCATTTACAGTTCAACGAGACGAAACAATCTTCGGGGCCAGCTTAAGCGAACTAAAGTCAAACGTGAGTTCCCTTCATGCGTCCAAGGCGAACTGAACTTCCCGCCATAACTCAATCCTTTTATATGGATTGAAGCCGAATTGGATTCCACCAATCAGCGCTTAGCAGCGCTACACTATGTCCGCCGATGGTCCGATGTCTCTCAACCAATCCACGGTCGGGTTTCCAAAAGTGGTCTGATTGCCGTTTCTATGACGACAACCGTCGTTCGTCGAACGAATGGAAAAGCGCGGGAAATCGCATGACGAACGACTTTTATCCCGACATATATCTTCATTTGTTTCTTGTCCAATCACGTGGAATATAAACTGTTTCGTTCTTGATCATTGGACATGACAGAACTGAATGAGACTTTGTTTCTTCTACATCATTAATTCTTCAATAATTAGTTTATTATTTATTAAACTCTTATTACAAATTAAAACAAAATTTAAATTTTGATAAATTGGCTTTATTTTTAATTTTATCAATTTTTTTTTTCAAAAATTTCAAAGTTCAAAATAATTTGATAATTTTGATAATATATTATGTGAATTTTGTAGAAAAAATATATGTTTATTTTAATTCTTATTGTAAAGTTTATTTGGAAGTGGATGGTTTATCCAAATTTAAGAATTCTTTTTTCTTCTTCATCATCTCCAATCTGCTTCTACTAATCAGTCCAACTGCTGTCAATATTTGTGGATCTTCTGTTTCTTCAATTTCCTGTAAAAAATAACAATTTAATGTTTGAAAAAAGCATTTTATTCTCTTTTAGTTTCTGATTAATATAAGTAATTGACAATAAACAGTACTTTGTTATATACGCGTCAATAAAAAGTTTACTTTCGTGAACGACTTTACTGAAATTCATATATAAATATATGTAATTCATATTTAATATTAGCTTGATTAAACATCACCTGTTTCGCTACATTAATGTTGCTAATGATTGAATGTAATGATAATGAAAACAAAGATGAAAGGTTTGTTTATGAATTTTATACCTTATAATTTTTATATCTTAAATAGTTTATAAGTTTCTGATTTTATTGTCTGCCTTTAGAATCGAAAGTAGAAAATATTACGTTGGGAAAATTATGAAGTATTGCCGTATTTTCAAATTACCGAAGTATTTCCAAGATGTAAATCTGTATTACAGCCGTTCATTTATAAGACAGAAAGATGATACATCATACCAGGGAAGAATCTTGACCAAAATTTTTGGGCATGGTGAAAGTTATAATAAGAATAATTGGCCTTTTTCCAGCACTAAATAATAGGCAGAGAAATGTTATTTGATGTGAAAAGTATGGACTGTTATAAAGCCCACTATATTTATCTACACATGATATATATGAAATATAATATAATAAAAAAGAATTAAAAATTTATTATAATAATTCAATGTTTATGGACCCTTGAGACTTGGGGGCCCAGGGTTTTAAGCCCTATTAATCTCTATGTAGATCCGCCCCTTTACACAATGCATCTATGCTGGGTTTCGCAAGCTTTCGATATAATCTGGGCGTGTTAAATGCTTCGAACGACATATATTGGCAATAAAACATTTTCTTATTAAGAATGCGGCGTATGCTAAGCTAGCCCAGAGAATTCGCCCTCGCGTCATACAATATCTCTGTACAGGCGTATTTTCTTCTAATTTAACTTATTTTTTATTATATAAAGATACGAAATTTTTTTCTCATGCTTATTGGTACAAATAAAACCATTTAATCATTTAGCTAATCGACTACTATCTCCTTAATCAGTAACAATCCTAATATTAATATATAAATTACCATTGACGTGGATGGAGCGTCATGAGTTTCACTGTGCTTATGTTGTAACCACTTATTCTTACAGTTTGTACTGAAAGAACACTGATCACATTGGTATAATGTTTCAGAAGAATGAGAAATTTTTTCTCTATTATTGTCTTTAATATGTTCATCATGCGTTACTTGTGTTGACGAAATTTCATCAGGAGGGTGCATATAAGATTGTGAAATATTCTGTCCAGAGGTTATAATACGCTGCGACGTACTGTACCTTCTCTTCGAAATTGCTAAACAATTGAAAAATACGATTAACTAGCCAATTCTATTTAGCATTTTTCTCTTATTTTTTAAATTGCACTAAATTCCACATGGGAATTCCAAGCTAATAATCAAATACAATAGATGATTACATGCATTGTTTTACAATGGTGATTACCGAAAAAAATAAAATTTTACTTTAGTTAGAGAAAGCTCAGTACAACAAGCAAAGTGAGTTACAATCACTCGATGGAAATAATTTAAAAACTATTAATTAAATCTCTTTATATGTCTTAAATCACATAATCACATTCATCTGCAGTTTTAAAGATTTTGAGATTTAAATTTTTAGTAGTACGTTTTGCACCTGATCAGAAAAAACTGGAAAGATTACAGTATGACCGTTATGTATATTAACCGTAACAGACAATATATATACCGACGATACACCGCTCTAAATTTTATAATTTTAATTAAATTGTAAATATTTGGACTCAATATGTAATCATCGGATATTTGAGAATAATCGATTTAATCGTTGATTGCACGTTTATGCTTTTTTGATATGTGTAAAAGATAGAAATATAATATTTTATAATACAATATTCNAATAAAGTATTTTCATTAATTTCTTGTATGTAAAAGCTTTATTGAAAAATTATGAAAATCGACATATTTTAATAGTTATCACTATTAATAGTTTACTTAAAATGTTTTATTATAAGTTATTTTATAAAATAATCGATGATTTTATTCATTTACATTAAATTATTGTAATGTAAATGAATTAATCTTTTATATATAAAATCGTGGCCAAGTATATAAGATATTTAAAGTTACTTTATAGAGCACGAAATGAAACTCTGTTTAGAGCTTAATTTTTCATCGCTCTAGTGGTTTTTGAGTTCATATTAGCACCTACACTATTAACTTTTTGACCCCGACACGTTGATTCTTAGCTTCAACATAATTTTTTAAAAATAAATTACAATTTGTAATGATGAAATTGCATTTTATTTATTCATTGAATGGTAAACTTAGAATTAAAACCATAAAATGTACTAAAATAAAGTTTCACAGAGGATTTTAAACGAATAACTCGTTGCAAATAATAAAATACTACTTATAATAAATTAAACCTGTTCTGTGATTACAACAGTTTACATCTCAGAGAAAAAATCTCGCATAAAAAGCAAACATTATACAATTAATGTTATTCACTTGCAGCAAAAACTAATTTATACAAATAAACAGATGTAAACGATAAATACAACATAACAGTATAACACGAATAATTATAATATTTGTAACCACATTGTTTTGTAAAAATAATTGTCTAATTTATAATCAAAATGATTTTGTATTGAAAAAATTGTCAAAATAATTAGTTTTAAAACAATAAAATTTGTATAAATGAGCTGACGTGACACTCTTCTAGTAACATTCCGTGTGGCGTTTAATTCGCTTTTAAAGAGGTTCTATAAACTCTTCTGTACCTCTACAATGTAAATATTAATATCTTTGTTTCAATTAAACGTTGTATTAGTTTACTCGGATACTACACGTTGCACAGACTACAATCAGAATACTTGTGAAAAAAGAAACACAACAGATTGAAAATCTGTGATAAATACGAGTAATTCGACTACTTTGAAGACTGAATTTTTCTGATAAGACACTACAAGATCTACATTTTATGAAATCGTTTCTTTGTGATATATTACGTCAAAGCAAAGAAAAAATATATTAAAATACATACTTCGTCAGGTGAGGACAACTGTGTATAATGTTCCAGAAATAAATGTCTGCTTAAACTCGATTTCCTCGAAGTAAAATAATTGCAATAATTGCAATTATATAACTGTTTTCCTGAATGTGTTAATTGATGTTTGTTTAACATTGACTTCTTTACTGTAGAATATTCACATTCATCGCATTTAAACGGCTTTTCTTTTAAATGAGACCATTTGTGACGTGACAGTCCACAGTTGTACATGTATTGTTTTAGACACACATCACATGTTAATTTGCTGCAAGCAGAATTGTTTTTTAGATGGTCATCGAATAATTGTTGGTTAGGAAACTGATTTGTACAAATCTTGCATTCGATGACATTTTTGCTGTCACTTGAAGCAGCCGCCTTTAAAAAATACGTCGATATTACTATTATTTATATGTTTCAGTGTATAAAAACGAGATCGATATAAAATATTCGATTTTCTACATTATTTTTCAATTATTTTGAAAAATATGATTTAAAATGGTAAGTTTTAACACTTACCATTTTAAATTAAATCCTGCTTTCAATAAATCAACAATTGTACTTAGAATATTATTCAAAAATAATTATTAAAATTCGATTGTTTGAGATCAATTGTTCGATGTTTTAGAAAATCATAAAGCAATGAGAATGTTTTAGATAAGTACAATCAAAATAAACTACTTTTTCGTTCTTGTTGCATAAAAGTTTTTAAAGTTATTTTATGTATAATACTTTATTAATAATATATAATTACAGTATTGTATATTAATTATAAAATTAAAATGCTAATTGTAGTGAAAGTTACATTTTTTTTTTTTTTTTTTAAAAGTTGGCAGTTAATTAGACACTCTCTTTCCGCTCGAAGAGCACTAAGAGAATTATTACAAGAGCGTACCTTGTATATAGAAGAGTGTAAACTTGTCCCAGAATGGGCTCATATAGTTAATCTATACCGTTTCAGTTTACAATTTTAGTGATTCTGTTATTTTTGTGTTGTATGTGTAGTGAAACGAATTATGCATACTTACATTTTTTAAGTTTACGGTTTTATAGAGTGACTAATGCATTCCATTTATAGAGTTATAGGTAAAGATGATAGAAAAGTTTAGATTGATAGATTGTTATCTTACAACCTGTTGGGGGATGCCTTCCGGGAGGTCTTTTAAAGGTTAACTGACTCCTATTCAGGCGTTGTAGACGTGGACAGTGGCCAATGTTCAGGGAACGGAACTGCTTGGCTTCTGGTGAGAACCTTAGAAAATTTACCATTTATGTTATTCTTTAGCAATGGACTGGAAAAAGATACCACTGAAAGACATTTTCAGTATATGCTTACTGTAATTTTGATTGTCAAATATTACTGCTTAGGGAAGCTACCCATTCGGTAGTTTGTGGAGCAAGAGCCTGAAATATACCGAGAAGAGCTAAAGGAGTAGAAGAGTATTATGAAAGAGCAAGTTATACTTTGAAATGAAATTGATTGAAGTATCATTCCATCTGAGCATTCCATGTATATATAGTTTATTATACTAATTATAATAAAAATAGAAAGCTAAATATAAACCTATACTGTTATAGCCTGTATAAAATATAAATTCAAAATAACATTTTATATTTCTTCCTATATTAAGTAAACATTATATGCATTAGTTGATAACAATATAATTAATTTATAGCCCCTATAGCTATATAACTTATGATATTAATTTTATAAAGGAATAATGTAAGATGTTAATGAAATTTCTTGAATTTTTAAAATTATATTAAAAAGTACTTTTACACAATAAATGTTATTTTGAGTGTATTTTTGTAGTTCAGTTTCAGGACATTCTGTTTAAACATTATGAAGGCTTTCTACTATAACTGATCTGTGTCTACTATTGGCCTTGTTTATAAAATTACTGAGGACTGGAAGTTTTTCGGGAGTTTCCTATTTTCACTTGACAATTTTTCAGCTGAAAAATTGTGAAGTAGACAACAAGACCAATCAATAAATATAGCTACTTTGTTGTGTGGTCTTAAATCATCAATTAAATTTAATTCAATTTATTTTAAGTGCTGTAATTGCAAGAGAAAACTAATCCGAACTTATATACTGTATTTATATTTAGTATACAATATTGTAATATTTCGACACCTTTTCGAGTTAAAATAATAATTAAATATCTAAGTATTATGCTAATCCGAGTCTAATATTTTTCCCGAGATACGGGCAAACGAACAAGTCACACAGTGAGATGACGATGTGGAAAAGACAACACATCGTATTTTTCGCGATACTCGACAGATAAGAACCCGATCAAATCTTTCTCCAAGTCAACGATTATTACAAAGTTAGGACTTATTTTACAACCTTAATCAAAACAGGCGATTAGTCATAATAACAAACTGTCAAACTAATGAAATTATGAGGTAAGACCAGTAGCAATACAGGATAGAAAGTGTCAATAATTCATCGAAACATTCGATTCTTGACAACCCGTATCAGCAAAACTCGGACTCAAATCAAACTTATAACGCAATAAACCAAAATTGCCTCAGACCGTGAGAACGGTCTGAGGCAATTTTAATCGGGAGGCGATTGCGAGGGTTGTTACACACTACCTTCACTTGAGGTTTGTTCTTGTCTTCGGTTGACTTGCGTTCGTTGTATTGAGAGAAGATCGGGAGGAGAATATGAATCTCGAAGAGTAACTTCTATGTGTGCATTATAAAGTATTGCCGACTTCTATGTGGCTGTCTCTTCTGGAGATCTATTAGGGCCAGTTCGGGTTCCTTGAACTGCGCTCTATGGCAGGTCGAACCTTTTATCAACTGCTGCCCCGAATGATGGAAAAACGCCCCTTTTTATAGGGACGGATGGGTGATTGACTCAGTGTCATAAGATAGTGAGAAGTTTTTAGTCAGCCTAGAAAGAAAGTTCGTTTTCTCCCTTTCTCGGAAACGAAAAATGTACAGTACATCCGCTTTGTTAAAATTTTATCAAAGATATAAATCGTTTTTTTATAATATTTTATAATAATTAATCTCCAAATATTCAGAATCTCACACAATATGTTGATTATGTAAATGGATCTTACCTAAATATGCATTTAAGATCGGAAATAATTGATTTTGTTTTAACGTATTTTAAAAGTTATAATAATTATTTATACTGTATTATCTAAAATGAAGGAAAATATTATTTTTTATATATTGCGCTGCAATTTAAAAAATAGTACAGTAGACCCCCTTATAAAACGGCTTCATATAATACGCATTCGTATATAACGGCGAAAAAATTGCGACCGTATTCGTACAAACACGCTAAAAAACTCGTATAATTCAGTAAAACGTCATCACCGACTCGTGTCGCGACAGGATTGGTCTAATCTAGACCAATAGCGGATATTGCACAAACCATTGAGTTTAAACGAGCAGCGGATCTACTAAAAAACATTTATTGTTTAACGTCCATAAAAATCATATTTATATTAATGATGTCTCCGAAGTTAAGCGAATTTTTCGCAGAAAAATAACTTATTAGAAAACACGCTCACGCCGTTCGATGAGCCGCTCGGCAACGAAAACAAGCTTAAGCAATAGCGTCGTCGAACAGTGCACATTCGGTAAGTAATCGTACAATTTTTTGTTTATAGGATAGTTTATATGGATTATTTTGAAAAAAATTATACGTATTTTGGAAATGTTGAGTCGAATTAATCTAGAATCGATTAATTTTATTGAAGAAAACTTTTCAAAAAGCCGTAGGCCGTAAACTGCATGCGTGCCGGGCTGTGATTGGCTCATGTATTTAAGTGATCGTAAAACACGAATTCATATAAAAAGGAACATATCTACCGTATTATAGAAGGGACTAATGTACATATAAATTTTAACTGTCTTCATTCCGACCGACCGTTAGTCTGTCTTTTATTAATCTCGAAAACAAAGTTAGACAGTTGACGTATGTGATATATGTGATGACATAGACATTAGATGGATGACATATGTGAATAGATATGAAAACACAGAAATTGAAGGCTCTGATCAGCTATATAAAAACCTGTACATAACTTATATACGGATTTTAGCTAGATGATAATTTTATTAGGATCTCTACAATGTAGCTATTATCATTAATATTGACGGTCCCTCTCCGCGAGACAGTTTACAATAGTCCGCGAGTTGATAAATACCTTAGTTAAATTCAGATTGGTTCCTTTGTAAATAGGAGGATCAGCGAATCGATTAACTGCTGGTATGCCAGGAAGTTCGTTAGAATCTTAAACGAGTAAAATAGTGCGAAAGTTTCTTGATGTTTCAAGACAAGTAGATAGTGGGCGACGGCTTGAACGGTAGCCAAAACAATCGGGTGAGAACAATAATTTAAAGGTGGCGAACCATCGATGATGACGAACTGCGATCGTAATCGATTCTCTTCTCTTTATTAGGGGGTCTTTCCAGTTACTTCTCATGCTTATATTAGTAATTGTTATAAGTCAGGGCCAATCATTGAATTTCGATCGGAGGTTCTGGGTGAAACATTAGGAAGATGTGTCACCTTTCAAAAAAAGAGAATCGGGGAAAGATATAATCATATCCTTCCAGTTTTTATTAAGTGTTGGGGATGAAACATAGAATTTTCTTCTCAAAGGAGATAATTTGTTTAATTAATTAACAGATTCCAGAAAAACGAACATGAAAAAGTTCTATAGCCAAATAAATTTCACTAAATCAAAGCTCTCACATAGCCTATATCTATAGAAGTTCCGTTTGTTAATTAAACACAATAATTTATTCAATTTATATTTAAAATGGCCGATTTTTCACAGTCAATTAATAATTTAGCACAAACTATGTAATCCAGGTGATTGGACATGACAGAATTAAATAAGATTTTGTTTCTTCTACATCATTAATTTATCAATAACTAATTTATTATTTATTAAACTCCTATTAAAATTAAAACAAAATTTAAATTTTCATAAATTGCCTTTATTTTTAATTTTATCAAATTTTTTTTTCAAAAATTTCAAAGTTCAAAATAATTTGANACATAGCCTATATCTATAGAAGTTCCGTTTGTTAATTAAACACAATAATTTATTCAATTTATATTTAAAATGGCCGATTTTTCACAGTCAATTAATAATTTAGCACAAACTATGTAATCCAGGTGATTGGACATGACAGAATTAAATAAGATTTTGTTTCTTCTACATCATTAATTTATCAATAACTAATTTATTATTTATTAAACTCCTATTAAAATTAAAACAAAATTTAAATTTTCATAAATTGCCTTTATTTTTAATTTTATCAAAGTTTTTTCAAAAATTTTAAAGTTCAAGATAATTTGATAATTTTGATAACATATTATGTGAATTTTGCATAAGATAATAAATTTTTATTTCAATTCTTCTTGTAGAGTTTATTTCGAAGTCGATGGTTTATCCAAATTAAAGAATTCCTTTTTCTTCATCATCATCTCCAATCTTCTTCTGCTAATCAGTCCAACTGCTGTCAATATTTCTGGATCTTCTGTTTCTTCAATTTCCTGTCAAAAATAACAATTTAACGTTTGAACGAAGGCACTGTGTAAATCCTTTTCTCACGCTTATTCGTTTGAATGAAACCATTTAATCATTAATCGATTAAATAGTGACTAGGTGATTTATAATTAATCGACTATTATCACCTTAATTGATAACAGTCCTAATATTAACACATAAATTATCATTGAAGTGGATGGAGCGTCATTAGTGTGACTGTTCTTATGCTGTAAAAAAATTTTTCTTTGACTTTGTACTAAAAGAACATTGGTCACATTCGAATAATGTTTCAGAGGAATGTATAGTTTTCTGTCCATCATCGTCTATAATATATTTTTCAGGACTTACTTCTGTTGACGAAATTGATGCAGGAAAGTGCATATGAGATTGAGCAATATTTTGTCCAGAAGTTGCAATACGCTGCGACGTTTCTTCTCTTCGATGTTGCTACACAATTGAAAAATACGCTCAGTACAACAAGCAAGGTGAGTTACAATCACCTGATAAATATAATTTAACAAGTATTAATTAAATCGCTTTATATGTCTTAAATCACACAGTGAGGTTCATAGATATATATAAATCTGTTTAAAGAAACATACTGTATATTGTACTAAAGATTGATAAATCAGAGATAAATATTATCAGAAATATATTTTTCAAGCGTTGTTTCGAATAATGCACATCTGTAATCAGAAAATTCCCAGTAAATTGGGATTTTGAATAGTTGATTTGCAGCTTTTCAGAGAAAACTGGGTGGATTACGGGATGAACTTTATGTATAATGCCGCATCAGAGAATAAAATTACAAGCGATGCACTGCTCTGATTTTTATGATTTTAATTAGATTGTACTGTATTTGGTCCCAATAAATAATCGTCAGATATATGAGCATAGTAAAGCGTAATCGGTTCAATCGTTAATTGTAGGATTATGCTTTTTTGATATAAGTATAACAGATAGAATGTTTTATAACACAATATTCAAGATACAATTGCTTTTTAAAACATATGTTGTTTTTACCTCAGATGTAAATTTTTGTCTTGAATGTTTCGCTCGCATGTGAACTTTTAAATTTGACTTAGTTACATATTTTCTCAAGCAAATGTCACACTGGAATGGACGTTCTCCCGTGTGTGTTCTCATGTGTTCTTTTAAAGCGTATTCTGATTGACATCGTTGCTTGCACAACTTGCACGAATATTTTTTTAAATCTCTGTATCTCGGTGGAAGCTAATCCATAAAATTGTTTTAAAAATTTATTAATTATACATTAGATATGAAATTTTCCAGTAAAAATTAAAATTATATTTATTATCATAGTACATATTTTTAAAACTACGTAAGAAAACTATTTATATATTACTTATAATAAATTAAACCTGCTCTTATAAACTATAACATTTGTTTATAGTTTTGATTACAACAGTTTTCATCACAGAGAAAAAGTCTGGCTTAAAAAGCAAACATTATTCAATTAATGTTATTCACGTGCAGCAAAAACTAATTAAACTACAGTAGAGCCTCGATAATCCGAACCCCGGTTAACCGACACCTCGAACCGACCGTCCTAGTCGGCAAATTTCAAATGTCCGCTAGTGATGTGGCGCTACAAAATTTGGCTATGTCTCGGCTACATTAATATTATTTTTACGTGTTTTAGCTGGCAACACTCATTCGACCATGAAAGGGAGGCAGTATTTAAACGAGGCTTAATTTTCGAATTTTTAACGATATAATAGCGACGATTATTATTTTAAAAAGTTTTTGTTAGGCTTAACATCGATGAAAATTCAACGCGAAGTAGGTTAATAGCGATATACTAATATACTAATTACTTGGGATATAATAATATACTACACTAATAATGGATTTTTTCATACTTTTCGGTTATCCAACTTTAGAATTATCCGACCAACCTCAGTCCCCAATTGGGTCGGATAATCGAGGTTCTACTGTAATAAATAACTAAAATAAACAGATGTAAACGATAAATACAATATAACAGTATAATATGCATAATGTATAATATCTCATTGTTTTGTAAAAATAATTGTCTTATTTATGATCAAAGTGATTTTGTGTTGAGAAAAAAATTGTCAAAATAATTAGTTTTAAAACAATAAAATTTGTATAAATGTGCTGGCGAGAGTATCGTGACACTCTTCTAGTAACATTCCGTGTGGTGTTTAATTCGTTTTTAAAGAGGTACTATAAAGTCAGACATGCTTCTCTACCTCTACGATGTAAATATTAATATCTTTGTTTCAATTAAACGTTGTATTAGTTTACTCGGCTACCACACGTTGCACAGGCTACAATCAGAATACTTGTGAAAAGAAACAAAACAGATTGAAAATCTGTGATAAGTACAAGTAACTCGACCGCTTTGAAGACTGAATTGTTCTGAAATGACACTACAAGATCTACAACATTTTATGAAATCGTTTCTTTGTGATTTATTAGGTTATATGTTAACAAAAATGTATGAAAATACATACTTCGTCAGGTGAAGACAACTGTTCATAATGTACCACAAAAATATGTCCGTCCAAAGTACTTTTCCTCGAAGTAGGCCAACCGCAATACTTGCAATTATATAACAGTTTTCTTGAATGTGTTAATTGATGTCTGTTTAACAATGACTTGGAAATGGTAGAATATTCGCACTCATCACATTTGAATGGCTTTTCTTTTAAATGAGTTTTCTTGTGAAAGTTCAAAGACTTAACATACATATATTGTTTTTGACACACGTCACATGTTAATTTGCTGCAAGCGGGATTGTTCTTCAGATGGTCATCGAATAGTTGTTGGTTACGATACTGATTTTTACAAATCTTGCATTCGATGACATTTTTGCTGTCGCTTGTAACAGCCGCCTTTTAATTTAAAAAGTACATCGATCTTATTATTATTTATATGTCTTATTGCATAAAAACGAGATCGATATAAAATACTCGATTTTTTACATTATTTTTCAATTATTTTAAAAAATATGATTTATAGGTTTTAACACTTACCATTTTAAATTAAATCCTGCTTTCAATAAATCAACAATTGTGCTTAGAATATTATTCAAAGTTCATTATTAAAATTCTATTGTTTGTGATCAATTGTTTGCTGTTTTAAGAAAATAATGCACCAATGAGAATGTTATAGATAGGTACAATCGAAATAAACTACTTTGTCATTCTTGTTACATAAAAATTTGTTTAAGTGATTATATAGATAATACTTTATATTAATAATATTTAACACGGCATATTTGTATTGGTCACATATAAATCACAATAGCTTAAGCTTTCTGTAAATAAAAATCAGTGGGAATAGATCTGGTGACGTGAGCTGAAATCAAGTTAAATTAACTTCATCTCTTTCGAATATAAAAAAAAATGCTCGTTTTAAAATGGTTTTAAAACTTTCATGCTTATATTAACATAATTATTTGATTAATACTTTTATTTTAAAAGTATTTTTAAGTATAGATGTACTCATTAACATTTATGAATATCTTAATGTCTGTTTTGTACATTTAATCATGTTTAATTATTCTTTATTTTTGAATAATCATATATATTTTATCTTAAGTTATATGATTTTGCGGATATATTAAATACTGTATTTGATGCACAAGAAAATTAACTTGTTTTTTTTCTGTAAGTTATTTTATTACGTGTTATTAAATGCTAATTAAGTTGCATTTATCTCAGAAAATGTCTTATCATTTGTTGTGATAAATGCAGGGTATGACAATGGAGTAAAGTGAAAAAGCAACTGCTTGGTTAGAACACAGAGTTTAATCTAACAAGCTGTATATACTACACATACCAAAAAAAAACGAAGGGGGGTGAGGTATGAATTATAAGAATGTAGTTATATAAACAAAAGTCTAGAAACATCTGGAATGTCCCTAGGAGAGCGTCATGATACTCACCAACATCATTTCTGTTAATAACACAAAATCAAATATTCTGAATCAACATCAGAATATTTTCCTTTCCTTCACGGCAAAGATTGTGATGTTAATTCTAATGATAGAAAAAAGAAATCGTGCACAGACCAAGCCACTACTAAATGCTGTAGATTGATAAAGGTATAGTACAGTATAGTACATAGTTTTTTTTACATATCCACGGCCCTCTTACTAGCAACATAAAGCAGTTCTTATCTAAAGCATGTTTGGAAACTAAACAATACAAAAAATTTCTTTTACAGAAAGATAAAAATAAGAATTATAGCATCTTTTGTCCGCGTAAGACAGTTTACTTTCTATAATGAATATTTTACATTAAAACGTACGTAATTTATAATGTTAAAACAATATATTGCACAGAAAACATAGTTTTTTTTTGTTTTTCGTTATGCTACAAAGTATGTTGTTACTTCTATGGTGTGGAGACATTTCTCCTTTTTATCACAACACCAAAAATGAGATTACACGATCAGCAATGAGAACATACTTTGTGTATGCTAATAAAAAAAAAATTTAAGAAGGGAGAAAAATTAAGAATTCCTTAGAATTCCAGTATTGTACCATAATCAATCTTACCAAAAATCAATTCTGCTGAATATACAGATCATGGTAATAAACTCCAGCACCTGTAAAACTGTTTTCCTTTCTTATACCCAAGAATTGTCGCACAGTTAACTATTATGTAATTAGATTATAACTAAACAGTGTGTTAATTATGTATATCTTACGTAAATATATATTCAAATTCGAAACTTATTGATCTTGTTTTAATATATTATCAAAGTTTTAATAATTATGTATATTTTCTAAAATAAACAAAAATATTATATTACATATATATAGTCGACCTGCCTATAACATTGTTGATTATACCGTTTTATATGAGTTCCATGTTGTACGAGTCACTTAGATTTTACAAATACGTGAGCCAGTCTGTGAACGGCTTGCGTATTTGTAAAATTTAACCACTCTGCAGTAATCGCCGGATATATTCGTCAAGAGCGATCGTGTGGCACTGGTGAACAACGGCTATATCCGCAAAAGAATTTCTCGTATAGGCCTATATCCAAAAACTACCGAAAAAAAAAATTCACATAGAGAAGGAATTATGTGACAATAAAAATACATTTTTTTTACTAGACGTAACTGTTTAAAAATGTTTTTCCGAAACGGTAATGAGAAAAATGCGTGGAAAAATACTTTAAAGATTTCCCATGTTTATTTTCCACTATATCGTGATAGCACCATACCTGACTAACCCACTGTACAAAGATTAATTCATCTGTAAATTCTACATACAAATTCGACAGAACTTTTAAATTAATTTTATTATTTGGTAGTAACGTTAGCTTAATATATTTATTAATTCCAAGAAAACTTTCAGGAGACGAATATAATCCGATTAGAATATAGATTTTTTTTATTTTTATAATTTTTCTTAATTATTTTTTTTCTATTTTTTTCTATTACAGTAAAAAATTGATTGGAATAATCCTGTGTTGATAAATTATTCCTTAATACAATTCTATCTAATCCTAACAATTTCCAAACTAACAGGAAGCAATCAGATGCAGGATTGAAATTTTTTTTCTAGTTAGTTATTGTTAGACTGAGAACTGTTAGATTTAACTATTAACTAATGTATAAACTTTAATTTTAGTTATATAGATTATTATGCAATTCTATATCTAGTTGTATTATTATTATTAAATATAGCCTATTTAAAGAAAGTTCCTAACTAAAATTTTCGTTAAGTTGTAAATTCTTCCTTGTCTGTTAAGATTCAAACTTTCTGTGACCGTTTATCATAATGATGGCAATTACAGAGAAATCATTTATTATGTAATTTTAGTTAATAAAACTTACATTCAATCCTAAACATAGGTTTTAGAGATTGTTTTACAAATGGAAGCAGTATCTGATTAACTAGTACCTACTTTTGTTTACATAAGTCAAAACTGATTTAAAGATGTGTAATTTCAAATTCAGAATCTTCTTTTAAAGCAGCCAAGAATGCTTCTGGGTTATCAGTATGACATTTAAATTTTTCTTCTGATTTTTCTATAAATTTTTTAATCTTCTCATCTTCTAAGTCTTCACCGACGTATCTAAATCTGCCTTGGCTGAAATTTTTATTTGTTTCTTCTTCGTACAATTTCACGTATTCTTCGTTTGTTCGGAAGAATTCTTCGTTAGATCTAAGCATGTTATTGGCTTCAGTAGGATCGAAACTCGGTAAATTACCTCCTAATTCCAAAGGCAGACAATCTGGACTGATGAATTCGTGTAAAGTACCCACATCCGAATGCAAATGTACCTGTAATTTGAATTTTATTTTCATAAATTATTTTATTGACCAGGTGTATACAAACAATAAAGTAAGTTATGTAAAGTTAAAATGGATAGAACATTAAAAATTAAGTAAAAATGTAACTGCTTGTGAGTAAATTGAGAAATAGAAGACTACATTAAAAAAGTTTAACAACCTGTTAAAGTTTGGGGTTGAAAAAATATATAACACGTTATAAAATAACATATATATTCTTTTATGTTTATAAATTAATAAGAAAATTGCCATTACTTACCCTCTTCCGGAGTTTGTCTGGTAGAAGTGGAAGTAAAATACTTAAAATAGCTTTTATTACGACATTCATGTTTACATAATGTATCGCCTTGTATCGCATTTGATAAGAATCTTTCTGTTTTAAAAATATTTAAAGCATAATTAAAATGTTTATAATGTCAGCAGTAATTGTCTTTAAAGAGAATTTCTTTATTATAAAGTAGTTAAATTAGCCTATATATTCACTCTATAAAAACTTGTATATATAATATAGGTCTATTATATAATTATTGGGCTGCAATTTGGAAAATTTGTAAACCTATAAATTCCCACTGTCATCAGTCTTTCTTTAATCTCTACAAAGGAGTTAGATAGATAAATACCTGACCTAATGTGTAAGTCTTAGGGGTGGCTCCAATTAACTATATAGGAACTTCCGTTGCAAATCGGAAATCATGTTATTTCAATTCAAAAACTTTTCCCTGAAGTTGTTAGATAGATAACCGGCTCGACTTTATTGGTAAAGGAAAAGTATGATGCATAGTGGCAAACCATTACTACTAATATAAGATGGAGAGCATATATTTTAAGTTAAAATTGAATTTTTATGTGTTGCTAATAAAAGTATTATAATTATACTCTGAAAAAAATGTGTTGGTAGCCTTCCTTTAAATTTAAATATTGTCAAAAGTAAGTGATAAACAGAAAAACCTTTCAAGTGAAATTTACTTGTATTTCTTTCCTCTGTCACTACAAAAATATAATTTTTCATTTGAAAATAACAAGTCAACTTTGACGAGACCGTGAAAACGTGCTCAAAATAAAAAAAAAATAAGTAAACCTGTTACCCTGCTTCCTTGAAAAAATAAAACAATTTATCGTAAACCTTTTTTCCCCCACACCCCTTCGTTCTGACGATATTTCTCTTTTAATCTTAAATGTCTACTCCTGTATATTCAATTAACGTTTATTAAGTATATTATATAGTATACATTGTGTAGTCCGTCCATTAGTTGCTCAAAGTGGCGCCGTATTAACGAAAATGACAAATAACGGAAGGTAAACATCCCAAAAGCCTGCATAAACCGGAAAACAGTATGTGTGACATTAACATTTTCAAAAATTGCTAGCATATAGACGATTATAATGTAGGATATGCGGAATAATTGAGACCAGATCAGCAAGAGAATTCTAATGGAATCACTAATTCCATTAGAATTTTTGCTTCTCTTTTTGTGAATAATGCCATTATCATTTATAATACTAACAAAATAGCTTGATACACCTTATCTATTATTATTTTAACTAATGAATCAGAAAATTTAGACACGAAATTGTGTACCCTTCGATACTATTTACCTGATAATATATATTACAGTATTAATTTATATCTACATGTTATCGCTATGTATACATAGATATATATTACAAGAAAGTACTTACAAGAACAAGCATTACTAAAGAACTTATGGCTCTGGGTGATAAATGATAGAAATGTGACAAATTCATTCCTCCTGTGTCTACAACACAAACGATTTTCTTAGCTTGAGTTCGATGAAAATTCAATTGTAAGTCCAGGTAAAGCAATACAC